ACACACACACACACACACACGTTTACTCGTGCTCACATTAACACAGAGAAGTTAAGGATTTATTGACACGGAAAGAAAAAGACAGAAATCAAATGCAGCAATGTCACGAGAATTTAAAGCAAATATTATCTGATATCGTCCGGATACATTCAGATTCGACGTGAAGCCGATAACTCCGTAATATGAGAACTAGAAATGGTTCAAACGGAACTCAGTGAGGAAGGAAATGCTTTTTACCAAATGTATCTGCCAGCTAATCCAACGCTCGCTGACTGAACAAACTCTGTCTTGTTTTTCACTGTTTAGCTTTTAATTATTTGAATATTAACAAAAGTAAATATCTGTGTTCACCAGTAATTCATTTATTTATTTATCAGGATAAATCACCCGTAACTCTCAGTTCATCAAAGTGTTTCACGACCATTCTCGCTGTTTCTCTGGACGTCTTTCTTTCTCTCTCAGGTTTTGATTGGAGTCTCCATTTCAAGTGGGAGCAGCTGTCGCCGGAGCAACGGGCTCGTCGGCTCGACCCGACTCAGCCAATCAAGTAATTCACACGTTCACACACACACGTACAACACCAGTGCACACATGTGTAAACACAAACATGTGGTAGTCTGTTCACATCCTGACCCCAGAGCTCATTACCCGTAGAGAAAAGATGGAGGCAGGAAAATGGGAGAAAGACGATAAAAGATGCAACAAGACGTGTGGAGGAAATTTACAGAGAAGGAAAATAAGAGGAGCGGAGTTTATATTCAGGTTTGGATGATGATAAACTGATGCAACACAATCTGCTTCCACAATGTGCATTTAGACGATTTCTGACATGACAACCTCCTCCTCCTCCAAACTGTTCCATCCTCGTGTTTTAGAAAAGTTAAACAAATAATTAAAAACTTGTCAGAAAAAGTTTGGCGTGGGCGTTTAACCCCCGATCTTCGCTTCCCGTTTTTCAAGCTCGAGCGGATCGTTTTAATTGCTGCTGAATGTGGTTCGGTGTCTCAGTGTTCGTGAGGCTGATCCTCGATGTGTGAAGATCTCCGGTTGCGTCCGCTGGGGAAATAAAACTACATCTTATTTTACTGCAGCTCCGGACTGGAGACACATGCATGTGGTCCCAGTTCGATCCTCACCATCCTGTGTCACCCTAAAGCAAAAACAACACACCAGATATTTGAATTAAAAAGATCGATAATAAACTTTTTCAACGAAAACGTGACAAATAGGATAAAAAAAGCTTTAAAAATAATAAATTCAATTTTCTGTGGCTGTCGGTTCAGTTCAGCTCTGAGGTGACTCGCCGCTGCCGAAATGACAAACGAGGAAGATTCTTGTTCCTGAAACAATCTGTGACAAACGCTTTGACTCGTTTCCGCTGCAGCGCCGCCGCCGAAAAACCTCATTCACTGCAAGTTTACACAAAACTAAATCACCAGAGTCATTGGCTCCAGAGAGATGAACAAACAAACAAGGCTCAGGAGCCGCAGAGCAAACACACACACACACACACACACACACACACACACACACACACACACACTTGTGCACTGCTCCTTCTTCATAAGTCAGATTGGTGGCAGGAACCCAGATTTACTGCTGTGCCAAGTTGTGACTGTCTGGCTCGGTGCATGTTATTTTAGTGGAGGTGTGTGTGTCTGTGTGTGTGTGTGTGTGTGTGTCAGTTTGCTGCTTCTGTCTGTGTCATGTCAACCTGCGGAGGTTGGACTGAGTCACTGTGTCCGTCTGTGGACTCACACACACACACACATGAACCACACCTGTGAGTGGGATTGTGCGATATGACCAAATAAGTCGAATCTAGATAACAATGAAAATCACATTGTAGATACAATTCAATGCAAAAGTATTTTGTGTAGAGTGTGTTTTTCAATGGTCCTTTTAAATATGCCACGTGGCTGCAGGGGGCGCTGTTGTTCAACACAGGTGCCGAGTAAATGAATGTATTTGTTTGTTTACGTTGTTTGTAAACCGGAACGACAAACCTCTGCTGTTGTCTTGGAGATCCCTGAGACTCGGAATCAAACTCAAACCCAGGATCATAGAGTCACTGCGCAGACGAGGTGTCTCATGAGCTGTGAGACGTTGGTGTGAAGACCTTATCACACACACACACACACACACACACA